TAGGGTAACATTCCGAGGTAGTTAAGCGACCCTGCGACGCTGTCAGGTACCTGCCGACCTACCGACCGACCCTCGACCGACTACCTGCCAACCGCCGGCCGCCGACCCTCCGAACGAAGATTACAAAAAAAAAGCACGAGTAAAGACATCAGCGCCTCGAAGATATTTATTGAAGACTTGAAGACCATTGAAAAGATCGTCGGTTATTGAATTCGGTTGTATTGACAGATCGGTCGGCTCGGTTTACGTTAATTAGTAAAGTTTTGAGTTTTAATTTCGAGTGAGCTTGTACGATATCGTACACCTCAGGACCCTACATCGACTGCTTCAGATCGACACGAATAATCGCCACGAGACGGGCATCCGGCGTCTTATAGGATTTCAAGAAATCTTATAAGATTCATAAACCCGTCCAACCTGGGTTGGCGTCACTCGCCTTATCGACACGGGTGACGTGCTGCGTACCCAACAGGTAGGTACCACCCCCCCGCCTATTTCTGCCGTGAAGCAGTGATGCGTTTCGGTTTGAAGGGTGGGACAGCCGTTGTAACTATACTGAGACCTTAGAACTTATATCTCAAGGTGGGTGGCGCATTTACGTTGTAGATGTCTATGGGTTCCAGTAACCACTTAACACCAGGTGGGCTGTGAGCTCGTTCACCCATCTAAGCAATAAAAAAAAAGTGCAATTGACTGCGCGTTCTTTAGTATCGTGCTAAAACACTTCAGGATGTCTGTATCTACTTGCATCTGTATGTTGTTAACCTTTGGATGTATTTCTTCCTCACTTCAATGAAACAGTTCCATGTTTTTGAGAGTGTTTGAATTCGGAGTGTATTTATATGCATCTATACTAATTACTTTTGTTCACCCCTAAATGTATTCCTCGTGGTATTTTATTTGAATACTTATGAATCTATTAATCTGAATACTTCTGAATAATCGCATCAGTTATAATAATAGTCCTCAGGGACTTTTGTTATAATTAGATTAATGATGATGATCAATGATGATAAAACTAGCCTTCAAGGACTATTGTTGTAATTAGATCATTAATGCGGTTAAAATAGTATATTGTGTAAATAGATCATATTCAATGTGCTGCCATCTATTGTCCGGTACGCACATTACAAACCGTTATTATAATCTGGAACATTCTGTATAGATAACTCTAGCAGAATTCAACGCAGTGAAAATAAATTACTTAAAATAAATATTTTTAACTCTATTTTAATTGTTAATTCAATTTATAAATTCACTGCAATCTATCCTATATTTCGGTACACTAACTCAATAAGTTTTAGATGTAGTAAAATATAAAAAGATCAAATAGACTAAGCTGACGCTGAAAAGTGCGCGTTAATTGGATACAAAGCACTTTGACATTTCAGTGCTTTATGTTAAAGTCTTTATATTCTATTTTGAAGAAATAACGTATTTTTTTTATTTTTTTTATTTTTTTATTACTTCGATGGTTGGACGAGCTCACAGCCCACCTGGTGTTAAGTGGTTACTGGAGCCCATAGACATCTACAACGTAAATGCACCACCCACCTTGAGATATAAGTTGTAAGGTCTCAGTATAGTTACAACGGCTGCCCCACCCTTCAAACCGAAACGCATTACTGCTTCACGGCAGAAATAGGCAGGGCGGTGGTACCTACCCGCGCGGACTCACAACAGGTCCTACCACCAGTAATTACGCAAATTATAATTTTGCGGGTTTCACTTTTATTACACGATGTNACCCACCTTGAGATATAAGTTGTAAGGTCTCAGTATAGTTACAACGGCTGCCCCACCCTTCAAACCGAAACGCATTACTGCTTCACGGCAGAAATAGGCAGGGCGGTGGTACCTACCCGCGCGGACTCACAACAGGTCCTACCACCAGTAATTACGCAAATTATAATTTTGCGGGTTTCACTTTTATTACACGATGTTATTCCTTCACTGTGGAAGTCAATCGTGAACATTTGTTGAGTACGTATTTCAATAGAAAAATTGGTACCCGCCTGCGAGATTCGAACACCGGTGCATCGCTTCAACACGAATGCACCGGACGTCTTATCTTTTAGGCCACGACGACGTATTTTGTAACGATTGTTTTTAACATCTATAAAATTTTCTTACCGCGTCTTAAATGATATCGAATCTCAAGAACTCTCAAAACACCACCGGCTATGGAATGAGTTTCCCGAACGCTGCGACATGTCCTTCAAACGAGGCTTGTGGAGAGTATTAACCAGTAGGCAGCGGCTTGGCTCTGCTCCTGGCATTGCTGAAGTCCATGGGCGACGGTAATCACTTACCATCAGGAGGGCCGTACGCTCGTCTGCCTATAAAGGCAATAAAAAAAAAAACACCGGTCGCAAAAAATCCGCAAGCATACGCCTAGCCTAAGCCGGCACACAGGCGAACAAACCGCGCGCATTGTATCACGGATTTCGCTCGCAGCCACGTGAAATTCGCTTGTGTTGTCGCTGACGTGCTTATGTTCGTGTGTACACTTTGGAACGTATAGATGCTAGGCTTGTGGTACAATGAGAACAAATTTATGTTCATGTATCCATTGTTTTAATGGTACAATTTAAATGTTAGTCGCGATCGGTACGGATACGGTAGGCAGCGGCTTGGCTCTGCCCCTGGCATTGCTGACGTCCATGAGCGACGGTAACCACTCACCGTCAGGTGGGCCGTATGCTCGTCTGCCTATAAGGGCAATAAAAAAAAAAGATCTTGGCATTCCGAGCTATTGTTCAATAAGTATTATATGATACCACTATTTCATGAATCATTTTTTTAGTGTATTTACATATGTTGGTTCATTGACAGCCTGGAAATTGCTTTTAACGTTAAAATCGCCCTTGTTCCTATCCGTGATTTTGTTTGTGCCAAATTTAAACATTACGAACATTATTGCATTAGGCGCTATCGCCTAAAAGTAATACATTATAAATAGATAACGTTTATATACTATGGAATGTAAAGAAACCCTTCCCAATAGTCCGTTCGGACTCTCAATTTATTATCTAAGTAACTTCACTAATTAATTTATTCGATTCTCAAATATGGGTTAGCTTATTAACCCGAACGAAGATATTATAATACCTGATAATTCAGGTATTATAATATCTTCAATCTATTTATTGCTTGCTACTTTTGATTCCATTGAGATAGGTTCGCACGCCGTTTTTTTTTTTTCGAAAAACGAAGATTGTCTCTACAAGCTTTTGTAATGTGAATTTGACCTTTGAAATGTGAAAACGTAGGGGGACTTACTCTGCCATGTACCTGCGATGATTTGATTGAGGAGCAGGCTTGATACTACTTAGCTACATGGATGAAATAGCTGTAAATGGGCCTCGCGAGTTCACACTACATTTACAAATGTAATTGAGCATAAAAGAAGCACCATAAATATTCCATAAACTAGCACTTAATTCATCAGTATGTTTTAAACAGATATACCGGGTATCTCCAGTTCATGACGTTTACCAAATGTCTTCTCTGAGAGTCAATCCAGGTTATCCAATAGATTATCTTTGTGGGCGATTTCACACAAACTCCTTGAACTGTTTTCGTATGCTTCAGTAACAATCATCTAAACATAAAAAAAAACATACTTTTCCAATGGTAGATATTGTCAAAAGTATGTTTTTATTTAATTTTATAAAACTCACTGTGCCCCATACTTGTCATGCTCGGTATATGTTGTTGTGTGAGTGCCATGTACTAGTGTGTAGTTACGTGTGTGGAACAGCGATATTGTGCATTCCACGAGTATTTTGCCAGATTTAATATAAAGTTTATAAAACTAATTACGCTGTTCCACTCATTGTGCTCCTGTATTAATACCTTAAAAGTAAAGATGATCTAACAGCTTACCTGAGTATATGTGCTTCTTATTGACAATATGGGAACAATGGCACTGCCCACTTTGAGACATGAGGTCTAAAACTCAACTGTTTAGCAGCTGTCCATCCTTCAGACCTAATCACATGATTGTATCTAAGTATAAATTCATCATATCTTGTCTATAGTATAAACCTTAATGCATTGCTTCTACAAACGGGGATTAATATCAATCACTACAGCCTTGGAAAATATGGATTAGTCTAAGTCACTGGTGGCCATTGATACAGCAGTGCATTTAGGTCCAGCACAAATTAATGATAAGATAATGCAACACGAAACTCGACATGTTGGAAGTCCAATATTTACAAGTAGGGTATCTTGTGACCCCGTACGGGTAGGTATCACAACACAACCTACTTCTGCCGTGAAGCGGTAATGCGTTTTGGTTTGAAGGGTAAATGTAAAGCAGTATATTGAACTGTACAAGATGAGCCTTAAAACTCATGTCTCTAGCTTGGTGGCGGCTTTTACTTTGTTGATGACTATGGGCTCTGGTAGCTGTTTAATATCAGGTAGTTAGCTCTCCACCCATCTAAGCAATAAAAAGCCCTGTTAAAGCTTTTTTTCCTAAAAAATCCCCAATAAGGGTTAAAAGTTCTTAGTAAGGTTAAGTTAGAAAATAATAATCCGGACGTACAAAAGGAAATATAGGTTAGTATTATTCTCCCGTTGTATCACAATCCTATTAGAAGCAGTGGCGGTGTGTGCGCGATGTGTGAGTGAGCTCTGAGGAGTGACGTTTGTGGAACTCACAGCTGATGGATTATTTTAACAGTGTATGAGATTCAGTTCGTATTAAGATGTATGAGGTAAATATGAACTTAGTCAGTTTGTTTGATATGGTTTATTCAGCAGACTCTCCTAGCTCCAACCGGCTGGCTATTAGAAGCATGGAAACACAATATGTGAATAGTATATTTTTTAATTAATTAATTTAACTAATTATTTTGCTGACGTTCGTAAGCGACCCTGATTACTTCCCATCACATGGAAATGGTTTTGCGAGGAGGGCAATAAAAAATCATCTTTTTTAATCTAAATTAATTTAATAGAAATTAACTAATTTTTGTTTTTTTTTTCAGATTCATGTCATGTGCTGATCTCACACGCTATGCAAGTTGATAAAAGTAAGTAATTTAATATAATAATCTTTTTTTAAACTTAAATAAGTATAGGTTAGTTCGGATAGCAAACATGCACTTCGTTCTCTGATTAGAGATTCAAAGCGAACGTTTTCAGACATTCTGAATGGTATAAGTGCGTAGCATGAAGTAGTTTCACGAATATTTAAGGTTGGTTTTTCATTAGCTGATGGATAGACAAGTCCGTGACCCATCTTATGTAAAGCAGAGTTGGGAGGACATCAAGCAGTTCCTCCTTTTTTTATTGCTTTTGTAGGCAGACGAGCACACGGCCCACCTGATGGTGAGTGGTTACCGTCGTCCATGGATTTCAGCAATGCCAGGGGCAGAGCCAAGCCGCTGCCTACCGTTTAATATTCCCCACAAGCCTCGTTTGAAGAAAGACATGTCATAGCGCTCGGGAAACACCGTGGAGGGAAGCTCATTCCATAGCCGGAAGGTACGTGGCAGAAAAGACTTCTGGAAACGTACTGTGGATGACCGCAGTGGCTCCAGGTAGTATGGGACAATATCAAGCATATCCGATGGAATAAAAGGTTCAAAATAAGCAGAGACTTTCAGTAGCTCCCATAGTATTGATTCTAAGAGATTCAGCTCTTTGATAATGCGAACGGTATCTCCAAACCCAAGTTTCTGAGTAATATTGCACGTGCACTCCGGTGCCTTGGGTTTTTATAAAAACCTTTAAGAATAGCTCGCCTCCACGTATTATAGAAAAAAGATCAGTGCAAATCAGTCCTTGACATTGAGGTGTCACATCGCGCTTAACCCCCTTCTGATCGACAGGTACGCCAACTATTGACACATTAGCTGTGTTACGGGAAGTATTTTGTCGTATTTGTCTTGCTCGAACAGCGATGATATCCTTTTCTATCTCGCGGTGCGAGAATGGTTATGTCAAGTTAATATGAACACAAAAAACATGTTAGCAGTTCACATGTGGTTGAAGTGAAGCTTTCCGAAATCTGTCCATCTCGTTCTCTCGCAGGTTAAGTGCCGTAGACGTTTTTATTTGGCTCTTCTTTTTAATGTTGTTTCTCGATCGTGAGTTCTATATCCGATTGACAAAACGGTGCTAAAGTATAGCTTTTAACAACTTATAGCCTTCTTGTTTATTCCACTTGCAAGTATAGATCAAGAGTGAGTTTGATGATGGGTTTTGAATGGGTATCCATCCATGCAAGATATAAAAATATTAGTATTAATCGGGAGGCAGCGGTCTGGCCCTGCCCCTGGCATTGCTGAAGTCCATGGGCGACGATAAACACTCACCATCAGGTGGGCCATATGTTCCTCTGACTGCAAGGGCAATACAAAAATAATAATAATACAAATAAATCAAAAAGTTTATTTTTATTGCTTAGATGGTTCGACGAGCTCACAGCCCACCTGATGTTAAGTGGTTACTGGAGCCCATAGACATCTACAACGTAAATGCGCCAACCACCTTGAGACATAAGTTCTAAAGTCTCAGTGTGTTTACAACGGCTGCCCCACCCTTCAAACCGAAACGCATTACTGCTTCACGGCAGAAATAGGCGGGGTGGTGGTACCTACCCGTGCGGACTCACAAGAGATTCTATCACCAGTAATTAAGCAAATTATAATTTGTGGGCCACGACGACTTTCAAAGTCAAGTTCAAGTCATTTAATACCTAAACAACCCCTTATCGAATCTCGGAAAAGCGAATTAAACATTGTTATTTTCCCACATAACAATCAGTAGTCCCGTCCCAACTATTATGCGGCGTCGATTAACCGCAGTAATAATTTATTCAGCTGTACATCATCTACGAGGCCGGTTATTTGTCTCGGGGGTCGGTCCTGCTTACACTTGACGAAACCAATTACGTGAACTACTTCGTTCGCCACAGACCATAGCGGCCAGACAGTTAGAGACTTTAAGAAAACATTCATTTTACAATTTTAAACGACCGAAGAAGACATGGATGGAGTATGTGAATGACGACATGAGAGAGTGTTGAGATGACTGCTGATGAGAATGGAAGAGAAAAATTAGCTGTGCCGACCCCACCTAATAGGATAGGGTGGAGAAAAAGAAGATTCATTTTAATTTTTTTTTGTTGCTTCTATGGATGGACGAGTTCACTGCCCACCCGGTGTTAAGTGGTTACTGGAGCGTATAAACATCTACAACGTAAATACGCCACTCACCTTGAGATGTAGGTTGTAAGGTCTCAGTATAGTTACAATGGCTGCCCCACCCTTAAAACCGAAACGCATTGCTGCTTCACGGCAGAAATAGGCAGGCCGGTGGTACCTACGGGTGCAGACTCACAAGAGCTCCTGCCAATAGTAATCACACAAATTATAATTTCAAGGGTCTCAAATATTAGTAATTTTTATTGGGCCCTACTAGATTTCTGATAATGTTACACAAATATATATTATAAGGACTCAATCGTGGACACCGATTTTGATAAAACTGTTTTTTGTTGTTCATGAATGCCAGCAATACCAAGGGCATAGCCAAGACACTGCTTGCTGAACTAACTTTCGCCAGATCTGTTCCAAGGAGGTTTTGTGCGAAGAAGTTTTAATTCAAGCAACTCCTATTTTTAGAAGATGTATATTATGTTTTTTTATTTTTTATTGCCCTTATAGGCAGACGAGCATACGGCCCACCTGATGGTGAGTGGTTACCGTCGCCCATGGACTTCAGCAATGCCAGGGGCAGAGCCAAGCCGCTGCCTACCGTTTAATACTCTCCACAAGCCTCGTTTGAAGAAGGACATATCATAGCGCTCGATTATATATTATGTATTATATACTATATTATGTATATATGAGACTCGACATTCAATTCGATCGAGACTATCCGTTGTATTGTATACAGCTAGCCCGCCTTACCTTGAACTTTATTTACCACTCATGAACTCAACGAGCGAATTACAAAAGTCAACGAAAAATATTTGAGGTCAGTACAATCTCTGATGACCTCTACATATTTTACAGCTCACTAAAGTTATTCTAACGTTTCAGCCGCTAGGAAAGTCCACTCATTGCATTACAATTAACCTGGGACCTCGAATAATGTCCTCACTCGGTTAATTTCATACAAATTGTACAAACTCAGCCGAACTTTGCTCCAGCTCTGACCGAAGTAATCGTTACTATTGATTAAGGATATTGTTTGTCATCGCGTTGTTCTTTTTGATACCAAGCAAGTCTGTTGACGTCTTTGGTTGATAAATAAAATTAAGAGATTTTGTTACAATCATTCAATCAATAAAAATGTTAAATTTTGATATCATTTGAAAAATAATTCTAGTTTATATATATTTTTGCATTGTTAAGCAATAAACATTTTAATAAACTGTTTAAAAAAAAACCCGAAATTTTAACAATCAATATAAGTCTCAAAGTTGGTTAAAAATGGATTGTTAAGAACTGTTGAAAAACTACTGGTCAAATCTTGATATGATAAAATTTTAATGGAAGAAGTTTTCAAATAAAAAGGGAAACATCAAAAGTTTTGAAACAGCACACATAAAATAAAAATGTAATGACTAAGTATTAAGCTACCCCGCATTAGTAGCAACAGCAACAGATGTTGGTACCAATCCGTGCGCTCTCCGTAAATATTCAGAGTAACTAACATTTACTAAATGACAAATTTGTTATTATTTTCACTGCTGCAGTCTGTATTACGTTTTCGCGCATCTGCCAAAAAAGCTGGGAAAAAAGCTTGCGAAGTGACGACAAATTGGACACTGCGGAGAAACGGGTGCGGGCTTTCGTCGCGTGCCAAGTTGCGATACCTGAGCTTTTAGTTATTTAAACAGCTGACACACCACAAAAATGGAATTTAATGATGATTCTTAACGTATTCTTAAATATTGTTTAAAAGAGTTGTCTATAATTGAATTGTTTTTCCCGACAAATGAATTCAGTGCAGCTAGCGCTTGATCAATATATTAAATATTATATAAAACCTAATTTATAAGTCTATCTAAATATTAAACCGCTCATACAAAAATCTATAATAATATAATATTTGTCATTTCAAGACAAAGAGAAATCAAATTAAAAAAAGTTGGATGTCAACACAAGCTCCTAATATTTATAATGTAAAAAGGTTATTTTAATCGTGTTTATCGAAGAAATAATTTAAATTAGCTAATTGTGTTGTGTGTAACATTTAAATATTTCATTAAGGAAGGAGAGGTGATTCCCTGCTAGTTTCCCGCGAAGTGAGTGTCAATACAGTACAGTGCATGTGAACAGTGCATGTGAACAATTACGTCATAATGTATGTCGGCGTTAAGCCAGGATTTACACACATAAGTTCTTTTATAATGAAAATACAATACAATTCTATAAAACTTTAACATTACTTGTTTACAATAAAAAGCCACGCCTGAGTTATTCAGTGGTTTTTACACAATTAGCCATTTTGTGTTGGTTATAGCAACTACAACTTCTTTTATACAAACAAATGTAATTACTGCGAAACAATTCACAAAACATAGCTTAATATTCAAAATACATATTTTAGTGATTTTACATGACTCACATTTAATTTATTTTACATGAATTACTTTTAANATTAGATAAAGTTTAAACAAAAGGATTTTATTATCATAGACATGAATACAAAAAAGTTAAATTAGATAAAGTTTAAACAAAAGGATTTTATTATCATAGACATGAATACAAAACAGATGGCGCGTAACGGAAAAAAGTGACGCGTAACCGAAAAATGTGACGGTAAATTTTTTTCCAACGCCGATAAGGAAGTTTCACTTCAATATTATATAAAACCTAATTTATAAGTCTATCTAAATATTAAACCGCTCATACAAAAATCTATAATAATATAATATTTGTCATTTCAAGACAAAAAGAAATCAAATTAAAAAAAGTTTGATGTCAACACAAGCTCCTAATATTATATTATTATATAATGTAAAAAGGTTATTTTAATCATGTTTATCGAAGAAATAATTTAAATCAGCTAATTG